GCCATCATAGGTATCTCCATTTGGAAGAGTAGCTTTACCTCTCCCGTGCCTTTCTTCTTTCTCATTCCTCTCACCTTCATATTCCTAAAATACAGGTAGCAAAACAGTGATCATTATCACAGAAAGAAAACACGAATTGCCACATACACATCTTAATTATACTTGTAGTGAGCCATATTCTCATTGTTATAATTTCGGAGTAGCAGGCCTAAACTGCTTTGAAAGGTATGACATATATGACTGAACCAATATAACATTTCATTACCGGTAACATTTCTGAAAAATTTCAAGAACAAGAAGTCACTAATTCTGAGTGATGCCTCAAAATAATGAATTTATCAAAGTTATCATAATATTTTGGAACTAGTTTAAAGTATAGCTTTTTGTGACGGTTGTATCCAAAATGTTAAACATATTAACAATGAATACCATAGTCAAAAATGTGTTGTTCTTCTAATTATAACCAGGATAGAGTAATTGACTATGAATAGTCAGCAAACATTATCGCTATGGTGTGAATTGTATCAAGTTCATTGAGAAGTGTCCACTACTAGAGTAGGCAATCCAATCTATAACACTAAAAATACCTAACCAACTGCAATCCAATCTATTTTGCATACTACACTCAGGAGAAAATCAGGAGGTATCAGAGCAGTCGGTTAGGGTGATTCTGATGCAATGAGGGGGTTTATGCAAAAAGGTATCATACTGCATGCATGAAAACAGCAAACTGGTTGCACCCCAGGTTACCTGTCGTGGCTCATGAATGGTGCGATAACGATTTCCACCCTAGACATTGCAGTCAAAGCATTCGATATAAAGTGAGGAGATAAACGAAGTAGAATGAGTTAGTGTACTACAGTATATGCAATAGAAAACAACTTTCAGTAAAGAAGGTATCTCAAGACACATTAAACAGGATCATCTCAGTATTGCACTACAAACTAAAAAAATTTAAAAACACTTTCTTAGAGTGATTATTGTATGATATATTTGCATGTGCGATTGTTCTTCCAAAAAATGAAGTGAACACAATCTCAGCAAATGCTTTTCTAGACAAGGTTTCATTCCTTAAGATACTAGTAACCAACAAACAATGAATAAAAATAAATAATTGTTTTTTGTTGGGGACATACTGTCAGTCCAAATATATTCTTACAACAGACAATCAACAGACTATTTCACGTAATTGTTTTGAATATTTGGTAAACAGCCAAATACATAATCAGAAAATCTGGCTAGAAGAGCGAGTCAGATTAGCGGTGGCTTAATAATGCATGTGTTTACCGGATGCTGGTTTGGTCAACAAGTGACCACGAATGCCTAACCATGGAGGTAAAAAGTCTCTTATTACCTCCATGGCCTAACTAAATTTATGTGGTCTTTTCAAAAATGTAATATTATGCCGTTTATACGTGACCTATGTGTTTTAATTAACGTTTTAAAATAAGAAAAATGTTACACAACTTAGATGAGTTTCAACGGTGAGTGTTTCAGTGTCCGGTTGTTCTCACATTTTGGTGGAGATACACAGACCGTAAAGTCATACATTTCCACTAACTGATGAACAGCAGACGATACTACTTACCCCTAAATATGGACCCTGATCTTCTTCATCGTAATCTGAACCTAAGTCGGACATTTTGTTTTCTTGTGGGAGTTAAGACTGCGACTTTAGAAACAAACACAACGCAGTTTACACCGAGCAATGGCAGTTGTCAATGAGGCAAACAAGTTGGAGGCGAGGTTGCTAAGGACGCGTTCATATTTATGGAGGGGTACATATTTTGTGGAGAGGGCTCGCAACTAATTAGAAATAGATAGAAATTTAAATATGTTTGTATAATAAATTCAAATATTATTTATAAAACCAATTTTTTATTGTAACTTGTTAATTTCATGTACTGTGTTGTTATTCAATGCCACCCCATCGATACAAATAGATCTTCGGCTCCTATATACAAATGGTTTAAGCTAGGGAATAACTTCTCGCTTTTTCTCGCACGAAGCGTTGCTTTCCTCATCTCAGTTTTCTATACTTAATAAGACGTGTATTGGCAATATTCTTACTGGCGTGTGTTCACAATTACTTAATATATACGAAATAATCGATTTGCAAAAAATAACAAAAACAATGAGCCAACGTCGTTCATTCCTATCCTCAATCACGTGATCTAAATCGAGTTTTGAGCTCAATGACCTTTGACACGGGTCGCCAGATTTCAAAATCCATCGTTTGTGCAAGCAAGAAAGCTGAATCAGCTGATCATTACGTCATAGGAAACTACCATCATAACATGGTGTATTTATGTGTGGTGGTCTGACTCAAATTATAAAATAAACGTATTCGTTAAGACTAATTTTTGTTGTTGGTATTACAATACAGAACAATATTTAACGTTTGAAAAAGAAAAATACCATCTCTTTTTTATAAATCGGAGGCAGTCATTCTTAAAATAATTTTATTTATCAACCGAGGAAGTACAAAAAGTTGAAAAAAATCACAAATCGCATTGCGGTACAAAGCGTTGTCACACTGATGCATGGTCAATATATGGCATTTTGCATGAAATCACAGTCCCTGTTGAAATGGAATAACATATTTATTTCAAACCCGCCACAGTCATTTCAAAGTAGTAGACCATTAGATACAAAGTTGCGCCCTGAAACCAAGCCACAATCTTCAAGTTGACCAATATTTCATGTTTTTGACAAATAATCCGCGTTTAAAATTACTGTAGCCATTTCAAATATAAATTTAGTTTCACGTGTGGTATATAAGTCAAGAGACAAATGAAATTCA